AAAATACACAGAAGAAACTAGGAAACTCCCCAATCCTATTACCCACAAATAATCACTTCACTTTTTCCAAATAAAAAATGTTAAATTTTATTTCACTTAAAGTTAATAGCAACCAAAAGAATAGATTCTTACTAACAGATTCTTCCATTTTTTTTTGTTTGTTAAAAAAAATCTATTTGAGTTAAAAACAGATTATGGAAAACATTAAATTTTTGTTATTTATTTTGACTTGCTTAAGTTTGGGTTTCCAGACCATTGTGCTCAGTCAACTGTCTCACAAAAGTAAGAAGTCATCAATTACGTCTAATCCAAGGACAAACTATACATCTCTATTTTTCTTACATAAAAGATCAAAATTTAAACTCCATTCCCATGCTTATGATAATTTTCTAGAGACATTAATAAAAAATACAAATGTAAGCAAAGTAGCTTATAAATTCTACAAACCACTTCAGTAAAGGAAACATACTTTCTAAAATGATTCGTAGTATCTGTTAGAAATGGTAAAAATGACCATCTCGTTCCTGAATTATCTGAATTTTGTCTGTTGTTTGGGCAGCATTGTTTCTTATCTCCCATTAATTGTCAAAAAATATCACAGTACCCTTTATGTGGACACAAACATTTGATCAGATACTTGGTTTTTCCCAGTCTTGTAACTGTTCCTCACCACGCATTTTTAAATCAGAGGGGATATATGTCTTCATCTCAGAAGCAGTATGTCATAACCATAGTTTCTGGGCTTCGGTAAATTCACATCATTGTGTTTATTTGTTTATTGGAGATATTCTTTACAAAGCTGTCTAGCTCGCTCTTCTAATTTAGACTCTCGTCTTCAGCTGAGGGTAATTTCCTTTCACTATTTTTCAAATGGTTCCCTTTCTTTCACTCTCCCTGTTGATTTAAGAAACTACTGTTAGATGGACCGTAGTTCTTCTAGAGCTATACTCGGTGTTGCATTTCTTGTCTGTGTTCTAAGCCTCTTTTTTGCTTTGTATTATAGATTTGTCCAGTTTTTTTTTTCTAGAATACTGGTTTAGTCTTCACCATACCCTGACACTCATATTTTTAATTCCAAAGAGTTCCTTTCTTGTGTGTGTAATGTGATCTTTGGCCATCCATTGGTATTTCTGAAGGACCAGAGTGATTGAGAACTGTCATAGGGATCCCCCCAACTCCCACCAACCTCCTGCATTTGTTTGGGTATATTTAGTCAACAGGACTCTTAGGTTGAATGGGAGAACGGGTTGTAGACTGTGAAGGGGGCTGAGGCATGTTGGCAAGATTCCATCTGGAGCATGTGAAAACAGGCAGGTTGGTGGGAACCCTGACAAACATCCAAGTAAGGAGAAGATTATCATTGAAGAGAAGTGCAAGTCCCTCAAGGGCTCAGCAGCCTTTCC